ACTCTGTGTATCAATCTAAAGTCAATCGGATGATAACTTAATCCTCTAGAGTGTCACAAGATTTTTCCAAGTGATCAAGGGCAATAACTTTGGCAGTAATTATCAGAAATCATTGAAAATCAATATAATTCGTGGTCTCATGACCTCAAACATTGTGTATAAATTAAACTTTAGCCTCTAGAGCATTTACAAAATTTTTTGAAGTTATCAAGGGCCTTAACTCTGGCAGTAATTATCGAAAATCGCTGGAAAAAATAAGACTTCTTCATCTCATTTAAAGTCAATCAGATATTAACTTTGGCCTCTAGACCGCCCACAAGACTTTTTGAAGTGATCAAGTGATCATAAATGATTATGTCCGCAAAGATGAACAAAATTTTATACGCCCACATTCAAATGTAGTCGTATATTTTTGTCACCCCTGTCCATCCGGCATCCCCAATCGCTAGAGGCTAAAGTTCTAGAACTAATTAATGGAAATTGTTGAAATTCTAAAGGCTTCTGTTAAAAACTATATGTCAGAATTGCTATTTGTGATTATTGTTGGCAAATATGGTTTGTCTACTTCAACAAAATGTCTACTACAAATTGCAATGTGATCAACGAGCACATTTTGGTCTTTCCTTGTTTCCAAGATGTTCCATTTCCATGCCTTTTTCATATCATCTTTCAAGTTCCAAAGATAGAAAAATTTAACACCCTGTGAATGTTAATGTTTTTTCTTGGCAAGCACCTATAGCACACGAGTAACGAATCATTTCAATCAACTGTTTTTGTTTAGAATAGAAATACAGTGGACTCTGTCACATCCGATGTCTGATCACTCCGGATTGCTGTGACATCCGACACCATTTTCATGTCCCGATTTATTTCCTTATTACTTCAGCCAAAATATCTCTGGGTAATTCGACCTCTGTACGTTCCGGATTACGACATCAATCAGTCGTCCTGTCATACGATTTCCTTTGAATCTACACCGTATAATCCGGCCTTCAAGACTTTTTGAAGTGATCAAGTGATCATAAATGATTATGTCCGCAAAGATGAACAAAATTTTATACGCCCACATTCAAATGTAGTCGTATATTTTTGTCACCCCTGTCCATCCGGCATCCCCAATCGCTAGAGGCTAAAGTTCTAGAACTAATTAATGGAAATTGTTGAAATTCTAAAGGCTTCAGTTAAAAACTATATGTCAGAATTGCTATTTGTGATTATTGTTGGCAAATATGGTTTGTCTACTTCAACAAAATGTCTACTACAAATTGCAATGTGATCAACGAGCACATTTTGGTCTTTCCTTGTTTCCAAGATGTTCCATTTCCATGCCTTTTTCATATCATCTTTCAAGTTCCAAAGATAGAAAAATTTAACACCCTGTGAATGTTAATGTTTTTTCTTGGCAAGCACCTATAGCACACGAGTAACGAATCATTTCAATCAACTGTTTTTGTTTAGAATAGAAATACAGTGGACTCTGTCACATCCGATGTCTGATCACTCCGGATTGCTGTGACATCCGACACCATTTTCATGTCCCGATTTATTTCCTTATTACTTCAGCCAAAATATCTCTGGGTAATTCGACCTCTGTACGTTCCAGATTACGACATCAATCAGCCGTCCTGTCATACGATTTCCTTTGAATCTACACCGTATAATCCGGCCTTCAATCGGTGGGTGTGAAGCAAACACTTACCGATCATCCGTGAGATTAAAACTAGATGGGTGTAAAGCCACAAATGATTAACAACCAATCACCAATCAATTATCTGTGAGATTAAAACTCGCTACCGTGGGTCTTTGTTGATTACTTTGATAATTTTAATCTCTTGTACGACAGTTGAGACAAATACTCAAGAATATCAAAAAATTTTCCCCCGAATTCACAGTCATAAAAAAATATTCCTAGCGCCTGTTGGAAACATTCGTTGCGCATGCCGATTGAATCTGAATAACCTATAAGTTTGGTCACCCTACGGATCTGTTCGAACCGTGTGACGACGACCTAGGGATGCACGATTCACAGTCCGCAAAGTCCCGAATTGACAGAATTGCAATTCAGTCCTGTCACAATTCTGTCAGTCCCGACGACGGAGGTGGTGTGAGTAGAATTGTGATGTAATTAAACACGACAAACAGGTTTCGGCTGCATGGTTGGATGAGATATTTATATATCCAGTCGACGCATTTGTCACTATTTTTGAGATTGAGAGAATTCAATTCCGGAACGTACAATCTAGTACGCCCATTACCAATGAACATGTGATAGCAAAGACAAGAGTGCAACCAACTGAAGACGGCGAAGAACATAAATTAACGACAGACTTGACCTATTCAAAATGCCTACACATGTTAAATGAAATAAAAACAAGCCAACAGTGAGGCTAATGTCCCGCGCCAAAATCCCAATACACGAAAAACATTAAAACAATCTAATTCAACTTTTTCCAGCCAATTTCTACCTAAAAGTATAGGGTTATCTCCCTCCACTACAATAATTGGTAAAGTTGCCTGCTGGTTGTTGTATTTAACTATGGCATCAAACTGTCCAAGTACAGGCAGTTGTTCTCCAGAATAGAACTTCAGACTTGTGTAGTGAAATGTTACCAAATTTCGGAAACATTCTCTGGAAATACAGTCAAAGCAGCACCTGTGTCCACTTCCAATATGGTTGGAACAGCATTAACAGACATTTCAACGAGGTAGGGCGATTTATCACCATTGGCGTGGTAGACTGAATATAAACCAAACCTATCGTCTTCATCTTCAGTTAAATAATGAGTATCATAACCCTTATTTCTCTTGGTTGGGCACATTTTGGCTATGTGGCCCCTCTGTGAGCAAACAAAACACTCAGATGTTCTAAAAGAACACTTGTTTGGCTGATGGCGGTTTCCACAACGAAAGCATCTCGACACATTATGGCCTTTAGACAGTCCCTTACTATTGGGTGAATTATTATAACTATTGTATTTATTTCCACTATGAGGATTTTTATACTGATAATTTATGGTTGACTTCTTGTGATGCACTACCTTATTCACTGGCTTACTAGACGAATTAAAATCTTGATTGTTGGGTTTTAATTCCAAACTGTTTTTAACTGCTAACTCCATTGCAACAGCGATTTCTACGGCATTTTTTTAGCTCAAGATTGGCTAAAGCCAATAATTTTCTCTGTATAGCAGCATCTTTCAAACCACATACAAGTCTATCTCGCAGTGCCTGACTCAAAAATTCTCCAAAATCACATGTAGTTGCTAACTGTTTTAGTACCACTAAATGATTAGACACATTTTCCTCCTCTTTCTGGTTTCTCTGATGAAACTTAAAACGCTTGGCAATTACGACTGGCGTAGGTGAAAAATGATTTTTCAAGGCCTCGACAAGCTCCCTATAAGACTTGGTACTAGGCAAATCCGGTGCTAAAATACTCTTCATTAGTCCTTAAGTTGAAGAACCCACAACGGTCAACAATAACTGTCCAACTTTTCTTTGTTTTCATCGAACTCGTCGATTCTTCCAATGTCCGACGGCATTTCCACGCTTCAAAAACAATTCTGTTACAATGATCAGTTTAACGCAACAGTGTCCCAATTATCGTAGATCCCAGCATCATCGCCAATTGTAGTATACTCATACATACAAAATGATAAGGTTCCAAAAGAACGATAAACCACAGACACATCAAAACTTGATCGGGGACATCTTTATTACCAGAAGCATGTTACACCAAAGCACTACGGGTAAAATGAACACGAGAATATTCTACCGGTATGACGTCATACATAACGTAATAATAATAATACGAAGCGTAACCATAAATACTACAAGGCCAAAGCCGGTTGCGCTACACTTCAACTTAGATAGACATACGAGTAGAAATGTTATGATTAAATATTTAGAGCTTTTTAAGACTGACCCAGATAACGGCAAAAACGATGCCGTAAGGAAAGCCAATGAATTCAAATGCATTTACACTTTAAGAACATTCGCACCGGATGGTATTAACGATAAGATGTAGTCCCGAAGGATCCCCCACTTTGTTTACTCTATAATTACGTTATTTTTACATACTGACACAAGTAAGAAATACTAACCAATTAACTTAAATACTCACTGTATGACTATTACTGACCATTTATAGGAATACTGACGTACGGTGCAAGTACTGACAGGTTTAAGCCACTACTGACAACACGTATATTTCTCACGAGTTTCCATGAATTGTAACCACAATTAAGCTTTTCTACTTGACTGATGGATATTCTAACGCAGAAGCCAGTTAGTCAATACTCAGAGATCGGTTCTACATACTATCCATTCAGCAGTGTAGGTTAGTTTATTCGGCTATCGTTATTGCGCGGACTGGAAATAAAATGCTTTAGGTAATTACATTTAATTCAATTTCAATGAATTTCTGTCAGAGAAAATCGGCTTGTTCGTGGGTGGTCGAAATAAGTAATATCGGCGATATCATTAAACTGTCCCGAGCATCGGGCGATGGGAATTGTGCACCGCTGCATAACAATATAAATCAATAACCATATACTAATGGACTTAGGCATGTGACATTTCGAATTAAGGTAGGTGATGTTTCTGACTCGGGAATATTGAACAAAACTGTTAAATCAATCTATAATAAAAAAAAAAGCGGTTTTATAAAAAAACAACATGCAAATAAAATTTACCGCTCGCAATCAAGTTCAACACATGGAATCGTTTAGGTCTAAAGGGAGACAACTCATTTCAGATGTCGGTAGACGACACTGATAATTTCGGACAACTTTTTATGGGACTTCTTTTGAGGACTTTTAGAAAGCCTCTTAGATTTTAAGCATGGTTTATGTGACTAGTCAGACATATGGTCAATGGACCTACAAATAGCCACATTACATCCAGTTCGTGAGAATGGACAGATCGACAGACCCACTGGCTTTAAGTACACATCAGCTTTAAATTTTCATTTTATGTACTATTAAACAGTAATTACATACTTTTTTCTGGCACCAAGTAAAGCTTCTAGAATATCAGGTAGTAGACCTTTTCTAACGGATGATTTACAAAAATAATTTCCTGATGGTGTTTTTATATACTGATCTGCTGTTAATCTGTAAAATATATTAATTATCTCTCAAAATATTCAGACAAATCAGTCCGAACCAAGCTGGTGACAAATCTTTGTTGGGTTTGTCAGCAAAACAATTCACTGATTTATAAGTGTGCTAACATATCAGATCAGGAAAAGTCTATGAGGTGTAAAACACAAGAACACATTCTGAAAGTGACACTTGAACGTTCTCTGTATAATTCTATGGTACAGAAGGCAAAAGATGTTTTGAAAAACATAGGAGTAAATGAACTTGAAACAACAAGTCCAGCAACACGAGACATAACAATGCACTACTCATTTGATTTTGCACAGCAAGTGCATTACCCGTCCAATCCGCTTCAACCAGGCCTGATGTATTTTTTAACCCCTCGCAAGTGTGGGTTGTTTGGCATTAATTGTGAAGCTCTGCCTAGGCAGGTGAATTATTTAATAGATGAAGGAATGTGTATAACAAAGGGATCAAACGCAGTAATAAGTTATTTAGATCACTTTTTTTCTAGTTATGGTCTTGGAGAAATGCATCTTCAACTGCATTGTGATAACTGTTGCGGTCAAAATAAAAACAATGCTCTTTTGCAATACTTGTTGTGGCGTGTAATCCATGGATTTCACAAATCCATAACACTTAACTTTCTGATCAGTGGTCATACAAAGTTCGCACCTAATTGGGCTTTCGGACTAATAAAGCAAACTTATCGGAGAACTATGGTTTCTTGTTTAGATGAAATTTCAGAAGTAGTCAAGACTAGCACTTCTACTGGAGTAAATACTGCTCAACTTGTTGGCCATGAGAATGGTGACATCTTGGTACAACAAAGGGACTGGCAATCCTTTTTGCATCCTTACAGCGCGCGCGTGCTAACCATTCGGCCATCCAACCACCCAGGGTCTAGCAAGCAACAGCGTCTAGTTGTTTATATGGCCGAAAAAGAGATCTGTATGCATGTTAAAGAACCCTTGACCTGATGGCATTTGCAATAAGAGGAGGCTGTAGCACTGCTGTCCGTCATAGCACATTGCATACCCGTTTTCATTAGCCCCATTGATTCAGAAAAGTAGGATCGTAAACCTATTTCATTTCATTTGTGTATAAACCGATGAACTTATAATTTGAGCACAGTTAATATTATTAGTAACATACAGTATTTTTACTTACTCATTAATGTTCTTTCAGATTTGACAGTGAACACCCAGGATGAGTATTTAAGAAAGAATTTACTTCGTCTTTGGAAGTTGGAGTATGTCTGCAGAAAGCAACATTACTGCCGCCTGCAGACAGACCAGAGTCACTTGCCCCTCCAGGGTTGCCCTTAGAAAGGCAGCAATACCATTACAGAAACATCAGAAAGTTCTGCACTTGTAAAACACAAGACATCACCTAGAGCGTCCACAAGATTTTTTGAAGTGACCAAGGGCCATAACTCTGGCAGTAATTATCGGAAATCAACAGGCTTCTTCGTCTCATGACCTTAAACACTGTGTATAAATTTAAAATCAATCGGATATTAACTTTGGTCTTTAGAGTGTCCACAAGATTTTTTTAAGTGATCAAGGGCCATAACTCTGGCAGTAATTCTCGGAAATTGCTGAAAATCAATAGGATTCTTCGTCTCATGACCTTAAACACTGTGTATAAATTTAAAGTCAATTGGATATTAACTTTGACCTCTAGAGCGTCCACAAGATTTTTTGAAGTGATCAAGGGCCATAACTCTAGCTGTAATTATCGGAAATCGCTGAAAATCAATAGGATTCTTCGTCTCATGACCTTTAACATTGTGTATAAATTTAAAGTCAATCAGATATTAACTTTGACCTCCAGAGCGTCCACAAGATTTGTGATCAAGGGCCATAACTCTGGCAGTAATTATCGAAAATCTTTGAAAACCAATAGGCTTCTTCGTTTCATGACCTTAAACACTGTGTGTAAATTTAAAGTCAATCGGATATTAACTTTAGCCTCTAGAGCGTCCACAAGATTTTTTGAATTGATCAAGGGCCATAACTCTGGCAGTTATTATCGGAAATCGCTGAAAATCAATAGGATTCTTCGCCTCATGGGCTCATGATCTTAAACACTGTGTATAAATTCAAAGTCAATTGGATATTAACTTCGACCTCTAGAGCGTCCACAAGATTTTTTGAAGTGATCAAGGGCCATAACTCTGGCAGTAATTATCGGAAATCGCTGAAAATCAATACTGTATATAAATTTAAAGTCAACCCCTATCCAACCCTTCTAAAACTATTGATCCTTCAAACAATATCCTCACTTATACCACAAATTTTTTACCAATAACCAACCAGAGAGTGATCATCATTACCAACCAAAAACTATTAGAAAACCATGGAGACACCGAATTTCTCCGTAACTGCCATATTAGAATATGCTACAAAAGAAATCTAAATTTGAGAGATCTACTCATCAAATCCGATATACCCAACAGACATCAATAAACCACGAGGCTGCTACAAATGCAAAAGAAACTGTATTTGTTGCAAACTTTTATTAGAATCTACCAAAGTAAAATCCAGCTACAACGGAAAAACCTATAAAATTAACAACAATCTAGATTGTAACACCAAATTTATCATTTATTTAATAACATGTATTAATTGCCAGATCCAATATGTCGGACAGTCCATCAACTCACTAAAAGTCCGCTTATACGGACATACCAACGATATCCGAAAATTTAATGACACCCCCGTAGCCAAACATTTTAGTACCACAGGACACAAATTTCAAGTCCAAATTTTCGCCAAAACATCACGTAACACCAACTTTAGATTACGTCACGAAGAATCGATCATCGACCTCCTAGCAACCCAAGCCGTTTAACGGGATTCTAACCAAAACATTCAAACCAAACTTTATTGCAAACCTACTGACTCTTTTTTCTACCTCAACTACACGAGCTGTCATCCTACTCACACCATCAGAAATCTACCATTCAATCAGGCACTCCGTATAAAACGAATATCCAGCACATCAGAAGAACTAAAAAAATCGCTTACATTGCTGAAGCAACGACTCAGTCGCAGAGGTTATCCTAATAACATCATACATCAAGGGATCACTAAAGCGCTCAATGTACCCCTATCCAACCCTTCTAAAACTATTGATCCTTCAACCAATATCCTCACTTATACCACAAAATTTTTACCAAAAACCAACCTGAGATCGATCATCACTACCAACCAAAAACTATTAGAAAACTATGGAGACACTGCCATATTAGAATATGCTACAAAAGAAATCTAAATTTGAGAGATCTACTCATCAAATCCGATATACCCAACACAGACATCAATAAACCACGAGGCTGCTACAAATGCAAAAGAAACTGTATTTGTTGCAAACTTTTATTAGAATCTACCAAAGTAAAATCCAGCTACAACGGAAAAACCTATAAAATTAACAACAATCTAGATTGTAACACCAAATTTATCATTTATTTAATAACATGTATTAATTGCCAGATCCAATATGTCGGACAGTCCAGCAACTCACTAAAAGTCCGCTTATACGGACATACCAACGATATCCGAAAATTTAATGACACCCCCGTAGCCAAACGTTTTAGTACCACAAGACACAAATTTCAAGTCCAAATTTTCGCCAAAACATCATGTAACACCAACTTTAGATTACGTCACGAAGAATCGATCATCGACCTCCTAGCAACCCAAGCTCCTGGAGGATTGAATGAACAGAATTAAAAAAAAGATGGGATTCGAATGTCCGTTTTGTAACAAAATATTCCTAAACGGAAGCAATGGAAAAAGACACATCAGAAATGTTCATAAAACAACAACAGTCAAAAAGAAAAGAAGAGACGGAATGATATATAAGAAGTCAGCCCCACGATTGGACGACTTTAGTAATGAGAACACTAAAAAAACTTCAAACTTCCAAGAAAAATGAAAAAGCCATAAGAAGTGAAGCAGAACCGATACCCATATTACCACCGTCAGACTGGATTCGTCCTTTCGAATCAAGACTCAAATTTATCTACATAAATGGTTATAAACACGTACTGAAAGTTGAAAACAACCAAATGATAACTACACCTTATAATGAAGAGCATCCTGGTAGTATCTGCCCAGTTCCTTCCAACAACAACAGTAAAGAAAAAGAAGAAGAAACAGCCGTAGCCACAGCCACCCTAGAAGACATCAATGATAATTATTTTATTTAAATCCGCGATAATCGACCTATTCTTTGTTATCTTAAAATATTAAATCTTTACTTATTCTTATAATTATATTAATAATTTTACTTAATTAACAATCTTTAATTTAATTTTTAAAAATCCTTTTTGTACATACAAAAAAAAAAAAAAAAAAATTAACGATCCTCATTTTAACAATCCTTAATTTTAACGATCCTTTTCTTTCAAACCAATCATTGTACATTAATAAATTTAAAAATCCTGTGACGTCATACTTTTTGTCTGTATATAAGGCGTCACAGGATTCATAAAAAATCATTCTTGAAAAAGGGTATTGCACCCGAAACGTTGGATTGATATAAAGATCTTTTAAATCTACAAGTCTGTTGCTGGTTCTGTTTGGCGGGGATTCTTTAATTTTATCTATTCTACTACTCCGCCCCGCCGGCATCATTTTTTGATCCTGATCCTACGCAGATGTACCAGCCTGTCCAGCTTTTCTACTGATTTAAGGGAGTGTTGCCGTACCCCTCCTCGTTTTCCAGTTTACTCTCTCCAGGCACGGCGAGCATCTTATTTTGATCCACTCCTCTAGGAAATTTTTAACTTCTTTAGCCGCCTTCCATCTTTTTAGTACTGCCAATGGACAACTCCAACAAAAAGAGAAAAACAGCTGATGAACCAGATATTTTCGTCTCAACCACTAATTTCAACAACAAACGTCTTCCAGAAAACGCTATACCGTACCTCAAAACTTACCGCAAAATTCGAACGGGTCTACTCAAATGCGAACAACATATTGAAATTTTAGAGAAATGTATCACCAATCGCTTCATACATAAGGGTTTGAGCCAGAATAAACTAACTCCACAGACTCCTACTTTTCCCTCCAAATATCTTATACTTTGGGAAGCCGCACACCTGATTTCGGAAAAGCACTCACGAGAATCCTATCTAACTATTGGAAAGAAAAACCTACTTGGAAAAAGAAATTACAAAAACTGAAACCCGCATCGAAGAATTAGACGCCACTCCAGAAATCAAAAAAGAAATCTACGATATTGTCAATCGCTTTATAGAAGACCTACCTTCTAAAAGCAATAATGCCAACAAGAAGATTTCAACGTCGCCGAGAAACTAATGAAGAACTAGACGAATTAATTCTAAATTTATCCGATTTTCATTTAACAAAAGAACATAAATCAGCATTATCACTCGGATTATCTTTTATACCCACACCCTTCATCAATCAACTACAGAAAAATATAGATTCTAAATTATTCGAAAGAAATATACGCCTGAAACATTTTTTCAGAAATCACCCCACACGTCTTGAAACTTATAATCCTTTTACCAAAACCAATGGTTGGACACCTCCGAAAACCAATATCAATAAATTAGAAGAATTCATACACATTACCACTCAAGATTTAAGAGAAACTAGACCCCCAATTAGACTACAGAAGAATATTAACACCACGCATTTTAAACTCTTGCAAGAACTTGGAAAGAACACAGATATAATCACCAAACCAGCAGATAAAGGCTAATAGTACTAATGAACCGAGAAGACTACATCAAAGAAGGAATTCGTCAACTCGATAATACCAAATTCTACAAACCAATCCGTACAGACCCTACCAACAAAATCAATGATGAAATTGATAAATTCTTAGTTTTCCTTTCAAAAAAAGAACTCTTACGTCCACAAACGATCAAATATCTAAGAACCAAACATCCAAGAACTCCTATTTTTTATATGCTCCCGAAGATCCATAAAATGAACAACCCGGGCCGACCAATTGTATCAGCGGTCAACTCACCCACAGAAAAAATCTCGGAATTTCTAGACTATCACCTAAAAACAATTGCCATGGCATCAGAATCCTACATCAGAGATACCTATGATTTTCTCAACAAACTAAGGAATATTACAAATATTCCTGCCGATTATATTTTATGTACCGCCGATGTATCCAGCCTTTATACCTCCATTCCACACAACCTTGCCATGATATTCTCCAAAAAAGCACTCCAAAAACGAGAGGATCAAACTATACACACTTGGATCTTATTATGATTTCTCAACTTCATACTAAAAAAGAATGCTTTTAAGTTTAACGGAAAATACTATCACCAGATTTCAGGCATCAGCATGGGAACCAAATCGGCACCTAACATAGCGATACTAGATATGAATCAAATAGAAACAGACTACCTCAAAAAATGCACGATAAAACCTACAGTTTGGTGGCGCTACATTGATGACATCTTCTTCATTTGGCCATCTAGTCGAGATGAATTATTTTCATTCATGGATGGACTAAACCAACATACTCCTGGAATCAAGCTCACCTTAGAACACAGTCTCAACTCTATTAACTTTCTCGATGTCACCGTTTACCGGGATTCTAACCAAAACATTCAAACCAAACTTTATTGCAAACCTACTGACTCTTTTTTCTACCTCAACTACACGAGCTGTCATCCTACTCACACCATCAGAAATCTACCATTCAATCAGGCACTCCGTATAAAACGAATATCCAGCACATCAGAAGAACTAAAAAAATCGCTTACATTGCTGAAGCAACGACTCAGTCGCAGAGGTTATCCTAATAACATCATACATCAAGGGATCACTAAAGCACTCAATGTACCCCTATCCAACCCTTCTAAAACTATTGATCCTTCAACCAATATCCTCACTTATACCACAAAATTTTTACCAAAAACCAACCTGAGATCGATCATCACTACAACCAAAAACTATTAGAAAACTATGGAGACACTGCCATATTAGAATATGCTACAAAAGAAATCTAAATTTGAGAGATCTACTCATCAAATCCGATATATACCCAACACAGACATCAATAAACCACGAGGCTGCTACAAATGCAAAAGAAACTGTATTTGTTGCAAACTTTTATTAGAATCTACCAAAGTAAAATCCAGCTACAACGGAAAAACCTATAAAATTAACAACAATCTAGATTGTAACACCAAATTTATCATTTATTTAATAACATGTATTAATTGCCAGATCCAATATGTCGGACAGTCCAGCAACTCACTAAAAGTCCGCTTATACGGGCATACCAACGATATCCAAAAATTTAATGACACCCCCGTAGCCAAACATTTTAGTACCACAGGACACAAATTTCAAGTCCAAATTTTCGCCAAAACATCACGTAACACCAACGTTAGATTACGTCACGAAGAATCGATCATCGACCTCCTAGCAACCCAAGCTCCTGGAGGATTGAATGAACAGAATTAAAAGAAGATGGGTTTCGAATGTCCGTTTTGTAACAAAATATTCCTAAACGGAAGCAATGGAAAAAGACACATCAGAAATGTTCATAAAACAACAACAGTCAAAAAGAAAAGAAGAGACGGAATGATATATAAGAAGTCAGCCCCACGATTGGACGACTTTAGTAATAAGAACACTAAAAAAACTTCAAACTCCAAGAAAAATGAAAAAGCCATAAGAAGTGAAGCAGAATCGATACCCATATTACCACCGTCAGACTGGATTCGTCCTTTCGAATTAAGACTCAAATTTATCTACATAAATGGTTATAAACACGTACTGAAAGTTGAAAACAACCAAATGATAACTACACCTTATAATGAAGAGCATCCTGGTAGTACCTACCCAGTTCCTTCCAACAACAACAGTAAAGAAAAAGAAGAAGAAACAGCTGTAGCCACAGCCACCCTAGAAGACATCAATGATAATTATTTTATTTAAATCCGCGATAATCGACCTATTCTTTGTTATCTTAAAATATTAAATCTTTACTTATTTTTATAATCATATTAATAATTTTACTTAATTAACCATCTTTAATTTAATTTTTAAAAATCCTTTTTGTACATACAAAAAAAAAAAAAAAAAAAAATTTAACGATCCTCATTTTAACAATCCTTTTCTTTCAAACCAATCATTGTACATTAATAAATTTAAAAATCCTGTGACGTCATACCTTTTGTCTGTATATAAGGCGTCACAGGATTCATAAAAAAATCATTCTTGAAAAAGGGTATTGCACCCGAAACGTTGGATTGATATAAAGATCTTTTAAATCTACAAGTCTGTTGCTGGTTCTGTTTGGCGGGGATTCTTTAATTTTATCTTTTTTTTAAATTTATAAACAGTAACTACAGTATTACTACATGTATTAAACAGTGTTTATTTATAATTTAATGTAAACTAGTTATAATAAGCATTGTCTTGGATAGAAATCTGGCAGTGTTAAGTAGCTCCTGCAAAATATATGGTGAACAAATCTATCACTCCAGCGTGATTTTCAGGTCTCAAGTCCTGTATTTTATTATAAGTATACTTACTCTTCTTTCTGTATAGTATTAGTTGTTAATAAGGATGTGTAACATAGATTATGGGCCATCATAATAGATGGATATAGAGATGAAAAATCAAGTGTTGCTATTGGCATTGAATAATATCTGAAAATATAAACATGAATAAGTAAATAATACAATTACTAATTGATTAAGGATGGTTTAGATCAGTGATTGGATTTCAACATTTTTCTTGTCGGACATTTTTTCCCCGAAAAAAAGGGGCATAACTTTACCGTTATTTAAGAAGGCGTTTTCAAACCACAATTAAGAGTCACAGGTCAACAAAATATTCAAATTCATACATAACAAACCAGCGGCTGCCAGGCAGGATACGCCCACATTTTCGAGAGATGGATAGAGAACAAGCTAAAAAGAAAGTGATTTTTCCTACAATCAAGGGCCATAATTCAGGAAGTTAAGGTCCGATATGCGCGAATATTGAAAGGAACCAAGATCTTTGGGTTATAAACTTACATTTCAAGTTTCAACTAAATCGGATAAAAATTGTGACCTCTATAGGGTCCACAACCTTGATATACCATATTTTTACGCTATTTGAGAACGAACGGCAGCCATTTTGTCTGTTAATTTTGGGCCGATTTTCACGAAATTCGAACTCAGTTGTCCTTAGGGTGTAACGGTGATATAATAATATGTTTTTTAAATCGGATAAAAATTATGACCTCTATAGGGTCCACAAGCTAAAAACGCGATTTTTCATACAATCAGGGGGCATTATTCAGGAAGTTACAATTCGATATGCGCGAATATCGAAAGGAACCGAGATCTTTGGGTTATAAACTTACATTTCAAGTTTCAACAAAATCGGATAAAAATTGTGACCTCTATAGGGTCCACAAGCTAAAAATGTGATTTTTCGTACAAACAGGGGCCATATTCCATGAAGTTTCAATCCAATACATGGCAATATTGAAAGCAGCAGAGATCTTTTGGAGATAAACATATATTTCAAGTTTTGTCAAAATCGGATAAGAATTGTGACCTGTAGAGTGTCCAAAAACAAATTGTGGACGGACGGACGGACATGGGTGATGACAATATACTTCCACATGAAAATGTGGGTGTATAAAAACAGGTGAACCTGGTTATTTTTGATGTTTAATTCCCGTACGGTATTCAAATTTCTGTCAAGAATATTTCTACAAAATTATGTGACATCGTAATACCACAGAATAAAAGCGTGCCAACTATCTGTTTCAAATTCCTTAAAAATTACCGTATTTTTCGGGTCATAAGTCGATACATTTTTCAGCAGAAGTCTGGCATTCGTCTTATACTCTGTTTCAACTTATATACGGAAGGTAAAAAAATGACATCCCAAAATTTATTTGGAAGTAAACGTCGCTCTACCACAACGAGCGAGTGACACCAACTGCTAAATAATTGAATTCGACTCTGGCACCACTATCAAATTAACTACTTACATTATTCCAATCGAAATATTCGTCAACATTTCTTAGCGTGTTTATTTTTGTGAAACAGGACCCAGTACACTATATTCATTTTGGAATTTTGAATATGTCTTGGATGTCTGATTGGACATATTCCTGGTCAGACAATTTAGGACATTTGGAAAATAGCGTTGGACATGTCCAGAATATACGAGCGAAATCCAATCATTGGTTTAGATAATAAATTCTAACCTAAACTCTGCTAGATTTTTAAACAGGAACTATCCTCATTCAAAGGCCACTTAAAAATGCAGAGAAAAATAATATATGAACTTTCTGAAAATTGTACCATTTTCATGGTCACCGGAACTAACGGTTGTCATGTGACGTTTTGACGTAAAAAGTAATTTGTGAAAACAATTATAGCTTGTCATAAAGGAAACTGTAATTATTTATACACATAATAAGTGTTTATGTACACAACCTTGGCCTATCTCTCAACGATTTAACGCGCAAAACAGTAGGACGTTAAAGCCTATTTCATAATTTCATTTCTCATTTATTGCCAGCAGATCCTGTACAAGTACATATGGAACAATTTTTCAATTGAACGAAAAGTTTTATAAATCAAATAGCATGCAAAGCATAAAATACGCCCACAAGGAAGCTATAATTTGAAACAAACTTTTGGAGTGTTCACTTAAACTTTGTCGGTGCACGTGGGGTCTCCGTAGACCCCATGCACATGTTTTAGAGTGTTTTGTAATAACTACTGGGCACTGCTTTCTGAAATTTAGTGACTTTGTCTCCTATACATTTTTATACGCCCACACTTCCTGAATTATGGCCCCTGATTGTACGAAAAATTGCGTTTTTAGCTTGTGAACCCTATAGAGGTCATAATTTTTATCTAATTTAAAAAAACGTATTATTATATCACGGTTAAACCCCAAGGACGGCTGTGTTTGAATTTCGTGAAAATCGGCCCAAAACTGACGGACAAAATGGCCACCGTTCGTTCTCAAATAGCGTAAAAATATGGTATATCAAGGTTGTGGACAAATTTTATCCGATTTTGTTGAAACTTGAAATGTAAGATTATAACCCAAAGATCTCGGTTCCTTTCGATATTCGCGCATATCGGACCGTAACTTCCTGAATTATGGCCCCTGATTGTACGAAAAATCGCGTTTTTAGCTTGTGGACCTTATAGAGGTCATAATTTTTATTCCATTTAAAAAAACGTATTATTATATCACCATTACACCCTAAGAATGGCGGAGTTCGAATTTCGTGAAAATTGGCCCAAAATTGAAAGACAAAATGGCTGCCCTTCGTTCTAAAATAGCGTAAAAATATGGTTTATCAAGGTTGTGGACCCTATAGAGGTCACAATTTTAATCCTATTTTGATGAAAGTTGAAATGTAAGTTTATAACTCAAAGACCTCGGTTCCTTTTGATATTCGCGCATATGGGAACATAACTTCCTGAATTATGGCCCCTGATTGTACGAAAAATCATGATTTTAGCTTGTGGACACCATAGAGGTCATAATTTTTATCCGATTTAAAACCAGCGGCTGCCAGGCAGGATACGCCCACATTTTTGAGAGATGGATAGAGAACAAGCTAAGAAGAAAGTGATTTTTCCTACAATCATGGGCCATAATTCAGGAAATTACAATTCGATATGCGCAAATATCGAAAGGAACTGAGAACTTTGTGTTATAAACTTACATTTCAAGTTTCAACAAAATCCGATAAAAATTGTGACCTCAATAGGGTCCACAACCTTGATATACCATATTTTTACACTATTTGAGAACGAACGGCAGCCATTTTGGGCTGATTTTCCCGAAATTCGAACTCAGCCGTCCTTAGGATGTAACGGTGATATAATAATATGTTTTTTTTAAATCAGATAAAAATTATGACCTCTATAGTGTCCACAACCTTGATATACCATACTTTTACGCTATTTGAGAAAGAACGGCGGCCATTTTTCTTTCAATTTTGGGCCAATTTTCACGAAATTCGAACTCAGCCATCCTTAGGGTGTAATGGTGATATAATAATACGTTTTTTTAAATGGAATAAAAATTATGACCTCTATAAGGTCCACAAGCTAAAAACGCGATTTTTCGTACAATCAGGGGCCATAATTCAGGAAGTTACGGTCCGATATGCGCGAATATCGAAAGGAACCAAGATCTTTGGGTTATAAACTTACATTTCTAGTTTTAACAAAATCGGATAAAAATTGTGACCTCTATAGTGTCCACGACCTTGCTGCATATTAATTATATTATGCTTAGGTTTTATGCATAATATAATTAATATGCAGTTTAATATAGAAACTATATAAAATCAGAGCAAATGTAGTTTGTTTATGTTTTGGTTGGTCTCATCCAATCACAGGGCAGAATTCAGTCACGTGATCCAGCAATATCGTTAAGCTAACTTTTTTCACCAGGCCGTACCACATAATTCAAATTGACAAACATTAGTGAAGCTATTAATTTGGATCGAGAAATATGTCTACTAACACGACATACCTTTCATTCGGCACCATTCTGTCCCAAAAAAAACCTGAATTGACAGCGATTTGACAGCCGATTTTTAACATAAGCGTCAAGCGAGGATTTGGGCATTTTTGCCATAAATATTCAGGCCACGATGTGTCAAGGCCATTGGTACCGTAGCGCGAATCAAAATATTGACAAGCTCTTGTGTTTTGGACTAAATTTTAATGACGTTACAAAATAAGTAAATTACGTAATGCCATGAATTATCGCAATATTCAACTTTTATTTTTTTTACATCTTTCAAACATAAATGGAGTCATGTTAGGTATCATTAGAAAGAAGATAAAACAAACATTCTATGAATATAAATTATCTTTTAAAAACTATAAGAGTGATAGATGTACTAATGTTGGAAAGTTGACTGACTTTCTGTAATTAGAGACATCGTCATTGTTTTCCAGTAGGCTTGGCTGGTATTTGCCGGTACCTAATAGAATGATATCGTTTTCAGTTATATATGTATATGAGATGCTTGTTGTTCACTTTTAGAGCATTTTGGCGACAGTATTATGATACGAATGGTGAACTGTTTTCTCGCTCAAGACTTGTCACTATTCATCCAGTTCTTATGTTTTCGACATTCCTGTATATTTTACATGCCGTGTGAAGCCACAGTAAACGGAATTCAACTATCATTAGGTGTAAATAATGACTAGAGATAGACTTTATATATCATTGGCAATTATCAATCAACTAATCATTAATCTAAGACAATTGATTGTATTTACTCATTGACGTGACTTTGGCGACCAACAGCGTGAGCCCTGCTCTAGAGAATCCGCAAGCTAAAAATGCGATTTTTCAAACAATCAAGAGCCATAATCCAGGAAGTTACGTTCGGATATACGCGATTATCGAAAGTATCCAAGATCTTAGTGTGTAATGGTGATATATTCACATGGTTTTTTTTAAATCGGATAAAAATTGTGACCTCTACATGGAAGGCAAGCTAAATGTATTTCAAGTTTCATCAAAATCTGATCAAAATTGTGACATCCAGTAGGTCTATAACCTTGATATACCAGATGTTTACACTATTTGCTACGAGGGGCGGCCATTCTGTCTGGCAGTTTTTGTCAGATTTTCATGAAATTCGAACTCAAGC